AGATTCGAAGTAAAGATATTCATTTTAGGCTTTTACTAAGAAATTATTTATTGAAAATGGTTAATTGACCCATCCAAATAAACCGAGATAACAAATTTTTTTTGAATTTTTTTGGGTTAATTAATTATTTTGTCTTTTTTGTCTTCATTTAACTGCAAATATTTAAAATAAATATCAAAAAAAAAAAAATTTTTTTTGGAGTTTTGAAAATTATTTTATTAAAATTTTTATTTACTGAGTTTTGTGTCGAGTTATTATTTATTGTCTATATTTATGTAAAAATTTATGAATAGAGCTATTCTTTTTTACATTATATTATTATGTCAAAAGGTATAACTATATGCGTGTTTATGTTGTAATGTTATCAAGTTTACCTTGAGGCATATTATTTAACATGTTTGCATGATATTTTGAAAAAAAAAGAATACAGTTAAACCTCTCAAACCCGATTTTGTCAGTACTGATTACCTGTAAAATCTGATAAAAAATTAACCTACCATGTCCGTTTCTGTTATATAATCTAATAGTTTATAAATGTTTTAAATTTAATAACCTCCCAATACTGATACAAAACCTGTCTACCATACACGTCGGTTTTGAGAAGATTGCTGGATTGACTGTATCAAGAAACGAGTTCTATCATTTATTTTATCTGTAGCATATATTAGAGGTGGTCTAGGAAAATTTCAGCTCATAATTTTCAGATTGATTAATAATATTAATTGTATTTTATGAGCCTAATTTATATAATTTTTTTTAAATATATAGGATGATAAAATATAATATTGATATTAATTATTGAAAGTTTTACTTTTAGGTTTATATAATTTGGACTAAAATAATCACTTCGAAATGAAATTTTCCTTAATCAACTATCATATAATATAAATATAATAACTATAGGTATTGAAGTATATTATCACATCTATAATTCCCGATGAGCACTTTGATATTGTACTGTAGAATAGAAGGTAGTAATGATACCACACAATTTTGATTTATGTAACTGATAGTGCATTCTATCAACACACCAACTTTATTTTTCCCATAATAAAATTAATAATATTATTTTACATCATTTAAGAACAAAAAAAAAAAAAGAAGTTAACGAATAAAATAAAATATATTAATTGCCTAAAAAATTGCCTTAACTAATTAACGTATAAATGAATGTTCCTGACTTGTTCAATTATAATGGGTGTTAAATGGTTTAATAAATTTTTAACGCCTATATAATTTTGTTTGATGCTTATCTATTAATGTAAAAGTTTTGTGCTCAAGACAGAGAATCCTTACTACTCTGTAGAAATATATCAATAATGCAGAGTTTAAACGATTTAGCGTGAATAGTTGTTTAATTACAGAATTTCATTCAATCCTCAGGCATTTGCTCATTTCACATATCAGAATGTTCTATCCAAAGTTGCCATTTTATGAGCCTAATTTATACAAAATTTTCAATATATGGGCTAGGTGCTGATAAAAGGGGCGAAATTGACAAAAAAAAATGTTTTCGGAAAATGTAACCTTATAATAAATCATAAGAAAATACAAACTTTAAGAAGTTATATTGCAGAATTTTATTAGCACAACTACTTTTGTGTCTTAAGTGAAAAATAATCCCAATCTTATTTTATCGTGCTTTTCACGGGAATCTGTAAAATTCCTTTAAATTCGATATTTTTTAAAAAATTCCCACTTAAAAAATCACAATTCCAGAGATTCCTTATCAATTCTCGATTCTCTAGTGTATTATCTACTTGTGTACTATATTTTGTTTTGATTGACCAAGTGGTTGTAAAAATTTCCCAATTTTTTTTTCTTAAAATCTTATATATATTTATAGCGCCTTTATAATTTTTTTATTTTTTTTTGTTTTTTGCTATCATAATTTTTATTTTGTTTTTTGCTATTTTTTCTTTTTTTCTTTTACTTTTTTTATTCTTTTTTCTTTTTTCTTTTTTTATTTTTTTTATTTTTATCTTTATACATTTTTAGATGCCACGTTCCTACAGTGAAGACCTCAAATGGCGCATTGTTTATTTGCGTTATGATGGTTATGCAGAAAGAGAAATTGCATCTCTTTTGTATATAAGCCAACCATTGGTGAATAAAATATACCAAAAATGGGGTTCAGTCATTCACCTGTGGCGCCAAGTTCCTGGGCCACGAAAAACTTTTAATAGGAATGATATGAACCTATATATAATATACCTAATATATTATTTTATATTTATTCTAATACTATATAATATTTTTATATAATAGATTTTAAAGCAAATTGTTAAAGACAGAGTCGATTAGTATTTGGATGAACTCATTGGAGAAATAGAACGATGTACAGGAAAATCTGTATCAATTTCAACATTATGGAGGTCACTCGCATATTGTGGCATTACCCGTAAAAAGGTTAATTTTTTTCAATTATTTTAATTTAGCATTTATCTAATATAAATATTTCAATTAGCTTCATAAAGAAGCAAAAGAACGAAATGAGATCGTTCGGAGTGCCTTTATGGTATGTGTTGGTGCACAATACCGACCCAAACATTTTATATTTATAGACAAATCCTCCAAAGATGAAAGATCTATTTCACGAGGCTATAGATATTCAGAAATAAATACTTTGGCGAAAAATAAAGCAGTATTTATACGTGGAGTAAGATATATGATTTGCCCAGCTCTAACTATGCAGGGAATTATTGCTGCTAATATCGTTGAGGGTAGTTTTACAAAAACTAAATTTAAAGAATTTATTATAAATCAAGTTGTATGTATTTATGATATTGTACAATGCAACTTTTAAAATTATTAATATCACTAATATTTTTATGAATTGTATCCTCATCCTAAAAGCGTTTTGGTTTTAGACAACGCACAAATTCATCACGATGATGAATTATATGAATACTTGAATACTTTTGGGGTACGTGTTGAGTTTCTCCCCCTTATTCACCCAATCTCAATCCGATTAAGATGGTATTTTCTTTGATCAAAATATATTTGCAGTGATACCGTTATTTTGTTGAGAATTCACACGACCCGAAATATCCATTGCTGGTTGCATGCGCACAAATTACACCAGAAATAGCAAGAAATTGTTTCGAAAGTTCTGGATATAAATAAAATATTTTTTTTTATAATTAGGGTTCAATAATAAGCTAAAATAGGTAATGTGAAAATATATATATATGCTGGAAGTAAAGATGTTATAGTCCGGTAAAGACTACTTCGAATTTGCAATCTATACTTAAGCATATGTTGAATTATATTTTGAATTGCTTTCTAATTGTAAAACTATATAAAAGATAGCTTCATTTTAAAATTATTATCATATAAGCTACATATTTTACAATATTAAAATTTAAAATTGCAATTACAAGACTTAAAAATATATAGATACAGTACCTTTATAACGGTGCCATTCTACCTAATATATTCACAATCCTTGGTATCTTAAGTATTTGCTAATCTGTTTGGTCTTGAAGATACTATGCAAGCAAAAATTGATCAATGATATATATTTTGAACTAAGCTAAGTTACAATATTTACAATATGAATATTAAAAACAACAATCTTAAAGCTTTACTATTATTGCTAAGCATCCAAGTATTCTTTAATTTATAAAGATTTTTGCATGTCTCTTTGAAGGTTTTCTGAAGCTCAAAAGTCTAAACAGATGAAGGTAAAATTTAAGATCTAGTTATTAGATAAGGAATTGATTAACTCGAATTCTGAAAGGTAAACTGTACAAAATTTTCAATTTTAAAAATTGCTTTTCAAAATTGCCTACCATATATTCAATACTTCCAAATTACTGATAAAGATACTATTTTTGAAAAGTATAGCCCTATTGTTGGTAGCATACATGGATGCCTAAATTGCCCATTTTAATAAAAAAGTAATTATGGCATTTAGGCAGCCGAAATTGGTCTTATATAGTACAACATTTAATTTTCATATTTGGCCGAAATGTTTTGAACTCTTTTCATCAAAATACATCATATAATATAACTTAGTTATTTCTAAAGATTTTATATAAAATTTAACAATGCCGAAATGTTTGCTGAAAATATGATTTTTCAAAAATAATTTAGGCACCTATGTATAATCGATATAGAGAAAGCTATACTAAAAATCTGGCTTAAGGGTAACTTGGATAGTAATCGAATACGTATGTATGTATAACTTGTTCAAACTTGAATTTCTTTTATATGTATTTACACTATGCATTATTATTTATTTATTTATACTTGCACTATCTAATTATTACTGCATTTGTTTGCATACTTAATTATTTACCCTTAAACTAACATTACTGCATTATACATCAATCTTTAAACACATGATACAATACTACATATATTTTTATCTTCAATTTGAAACCCCTAATTTTCTTATCTCATTTACAAAACAAACATGATACAGTACATACAGTTTGATAATACATAGGATTATTTTCACAATAACCTCTCCATTACTAGACAATACTCGATTAATTATGATTCGCACTCTAGTCATTGATATACAGTATAAGGTTGGTTATAATGCAGAATTGAACAATTGTTGAATACCAAACCAGGTTTGATTTACATCTTTAACTTTGACTATTGAATATGTATAACAATAACTTAACTAATTACTAAAAATACCACTACTATAAAGGAAAAATGCGAAAGATCTTTGTTATTTAAAATAATAAAAAAATGTTTGTCAGTTCTAATATATTTGAGCAATACCCAAACACATAAGTATAATAAATTTGAGTAGCGATTATACAATACTTTATTGAATAAATGCTGTATGATTGTTCAAAACCATAAAGTAACAATTTTTAATTGTAATATTCTAACAAATGTCTATTTAGTCCAATTTTTATTATAATAAAAAGTATCAAGTGCAAATGTCAAAAATGTTTGTGACATTATCTGCTTTTACTCTATACAAATACCTTATGTGCTTATTTTATTTGCAATGATAAGCATGTTTAAAAATTTCTTCAATTTTCTTGTTGATACCTTCTTGCATATTCGCGTAGAGTTTTCCGCGCACCAACAGTATCTATTCCACATTTTTCAAATTCTTCATCTATTAATTCAGATAAGTGTTTCACTAAAACCCTTTGCATTTTAAACTTTTCCAAAAAATCTTGATAGTATTGTCCGGTTTCTTCCTTTTCGTCTACTTCTCGCAAAAATTCTTTCATACTAGGTAAGGTAAAAGAAATATACAGATTAGATGTTGAAGGCTGTAAAGAAATATGAGATAATTGTTGATAAGAATTGTAGGGAATTGTAAATAATGGTTGATGTGGATAAAATGGTTGAGATCCAAAGATCCAATTGCCATTGTGCTGTAATTGTGGTAGTTGTGGTGGTAAAGCTAACGGAGCATGTATTTGTGGGTGTAGTGGTGGCATAATTACTTGCAGTTGTGATTGAATTTGAGGATATAGTTGTACTTGCAGTTGTGATTGCGCTTGCAGCTATAATTGTGCTTGTAATTGTATCTGCATTTGCTGTTGTGATTGTACTTGCAGATGTTGCAGTTGCGATTCTGCTTGTGATTACAATTGTGTCTGCGGTTGTGTTTGCGAATGTTGTTGTGGTTGCGGTTGTGGTTGCGCTTGAGACGATGGTTGTGATGATATAATTGAAGTTATTTGTGCTTGTGGTGATTGTGACAATGTAGTCAAAGAAGAACGTATTTTTTTGGATAATACATTAGCATAAGAGAAAAGAGGATGTGTCAGGAGAATTTCAATTGAAGCCAACTCTTTATTCTACAGTAAAAATATAAAGATATAAATATACAGTAAATAAATATAAATATTAAATATTATTCTATATATTATTTATTTACCATATCCGATGCCCATATTGATAGCAGCATAAAGTTAATTTCGACGTGCGTGTCCTTGTAATTTTCTTTATTTAGACAAGGTTAATTATAAATATTTCACTGATATGCATTTCGAATTTTTAACACATTTTTAGCAATGATTTTATCATATGAAGATAAAGACGAAACACTTGGAATTCTATTTTTTTTATTATTGCTCGGTTTTTCAACTTCATCTTCATCGTCATCTAAATTTAATTCCTACAAAACGTTATAGTTATTGTTTGAGAATAAAGAATTTGGTGTATACATTTACTGTATATATATATTATCATTATTACTACCTTTTTTTGCGTTTATTAGTTGTAATTGTGATATAAATTCCAATATCACTTTTTCTTGTAGCCAATTTTGCATATTCAGCTTTAAACTTGAGAAAATCTTGTGCATCAACTAGTTGAGTACCGGCACCCGCTTCTCTTTGTGTTTTAAACATTACACAATAATTGCTTTTCATAATTGTAGTATTATTAGTCAACGAAATAATTTTATTATAAACAGATGAAAGAAATTCATCAATGGACAATACGGATTCTTCAAACCACTTTGCAGGTAATGAAGTCCCATCGGATGTTTTAATAAACAACTTATAACCTAATACGAAGTCGGATTTTTTGTTACTACTCAGTTCGTTCTCACTTTTATCTTCACTTGCTGCAATAGACACTGCAGGGGAAGAGGATCTATTTGTTTTCTATAAATAAAGTAAAATTAGTAAATATAAATATAAATAAAATATATATAAAAAAAAAAATTACATTATTATTATTTTTTTGGATTTGGTTGTATCTGTTGCTTCTTTTGGGTTCAACTTAACTAAAATATTATGGCACCTTCCACAAAGAGAGAATTTGAAAGTCTTTCTTAAATTTATATCATAATTATGTTCCATAACATTTTTATGAATATATTCAAATTTTGGTCCAGGCCAGGTTGGTTCGAAAAAACGTGTGTATGCTTGTTTAATGAGACTGGTTCTATTCTTTTTGGTTGGCACCAAAAAAATTTTACAACTGCATGTTTCATGGCTCAAGTCTACTGCACAATACAGGCATTTTCAGCACCCAAAGCAGGTACCACGAAAATACTTAAGTTTAGTATTTGTAGCGTCTGTCATAAGAAATTGATTATTTTGGAAAAAAAGAAAATTTTTTCCATTTTTAGAATTTTTTTTATATTTATGTGGGCGGTATGATAAGTCTTGTCAGTAGATCAATATCTTGATCATTTTTAAAGATATAGTTTTAAAATTTTTATATATAAATAAGGAAGTTATGATAAATTTGTAAAAAAAATTTTAGCTATTTTTATCAGATAGTTTTTAAAATATTGAATTTTTAATTTTATATATAAAAAATATTGCAAATTTTTTTATATAAAAATTAATTAAACTATATATGAAAAAATTAAAAATTTAATTAATTTTTTTAAAAATTTAAACAATATTAAAATTGATTATGTAGTTTTTAAATATGTAATTTGTTTTTAGATTGAAGTATTAAAATTTAAAAATTTATAATTTAAAATTTTTCTTTGTTTGAATACATTTTGCGAAGCTTTATTTTATTTATTTTTTAATATTTTTACAAATTTTACTAATAATAATAAAAATATTGCAAAAATTATTTTTTATAACTATTCTATTTTTAAATAAAATTATTAAATTTATTTAAAACAACAAAAAATTAAAATCATTATATATATAAATTTTATTACTAAATTTAGTAAATAAATTACTATATATAGTAAATATTTAATCTACAATAAAATCACTTTTCAATGAACTCTTTCTGACGATCACTTGAACCATATTTTCTGAAAAAGATTTTACTACAAGAAAAGACCTTACAAGCTGACACTTGACCTAAAAACCTAGACAATAAGACAGCACCTGTCATTTAGAAGTAGTTCTCATACGTTACTTGCCGACAGGCTTAGAGTTTATCACTCACTGTATAGTCTCAGCACTTGTCATTTAGAGGTAGCTCTTATACGCTACCTGCTGACAAGTCTAGAGTTTATCACTCACCGAAAAAAAGGTTAAGCAGGTGTTAGAAAGTAGGTCTTGATTATAGAAAAGAAAACTCACACTCCTTTAAATTGGGTTGAAGCTCAAGTGGTCTCTCTTTACCTTTCATTATTTTTTTGTCGGTCTCCAAAAATTTTTCATAAAAAGTGGGATATTTGGCTTACCCCCTCCAAAAGATTGGCATTGTTTACTTACCAAATCTGGATGGACTGGTAGATAGCAACCACGTGTTTGGAGACAAATACGTTATATGGGCTCTGGAATGAGTCCCGGTCAAAAAAGGAATTCCTGGTGGCGGCACCAAGTGGCTTGAGATACGAGTACCCAAGTGATGGCACCTTTACAGAAATGTCACGTCCTTGTCATCGTTGGTGCCGTATATGGAGAGTCGGATCTTAGTACTGCAGCAACACTTGGTTTGAGATATAGTCTAGGTTATTAAAAAGATTTGGAATTGAGTCGGAGAGAATTTTAAGGTTAAGCTTAGACTTACAACAGAGATATACAGATGTTGCATCTGGTATATAATTTTTAAA